CATCTGACTCTCTCTTCGCCCAAGAGCTTCCTCCCAAACTGCAGAAACCACTCAGCGCGCCCAGCACGCCTCGTAGGCACAGCCCTCAATCACTGACGCTGAGAAGTTGGGTGTATAAATTCCCCAGCTCCCTCCCCTGAGTGGAATGAGGGGAACACTGGATAATTCTGGGTGCTCCACACCACTGTGTCCCAGGCTTCACCAGCGGGATTATTACGCTCCAGTCCCCCACAGTCCCAGCCAGCTTGATAACATCCTTTATCACCTTTTTCCGCATTCCAGCTCATTCTCCTGAATCCCCTACCACTGATTCCTGGACCTCCCCAAAGCGTTACTTAACACTCGAAACCTTGCCTCAGGGTCTGGGGTCCAAACTAAGACGGGATCAAGGAGAACATCTTCCAGTTCCTTATACTCAACACCACTTCTCAGCCACTGCTAATCTCATGTTGCAGTCATTCTCACTGCCTCTAAAACTATAGCAGCAGAGTCAAGATAATCAATGAGCCTCAGACATCTATGGCAGGGACAAAATGGAGTAATTGTAATAAACCAGATTGCCAGCTGGTCTCCCCATCTTACTCCCCAGGCCTGCTAATAATCAGTCTTCCTTTTCATTTTTAAGCACTGAGCGCAGCTTTGCTTTGTTTTTATATTTCCAAAACCAACAAGGAATAGAAAGAACAATGATCCAGCGCTAGGGAGATGCCAAAATAGAAGAGGCAGAAGAATGACAGACCTCTTCCATCGCCTCCTTCCCCGGGGCAGCTCAGCAAATGTCCTATGACGTGAAGGCCACAGACTATTAGCAGCAGCATCAAATGCTATTTATTAAGCACTGACTCCAGAAGGAACTGAACCCTCTCATCAAAAGCCAGGGAACAGAGAGACTTGACTTGCCATATGCCATATCTCTTAGGGAAGCATGCTTGTTTATACGGTAGCATTTTTATATGTCGCAAATGATTCAGAATCATCGCTTTCCAATTTCCTTCTGTTGACACGGATTGACTGTGGGAGGAGGTAGTTAAAAAAAGCCAAAGCTGCACAAAGATCTTTTGGTTGGAGGCAAAAAAACCAAAACAAAACCAAAAAAAAAAAAAAAACCAACCTAACACTAGCTACAAATGAACTGCCATCAGCAACCATCAGGTAGGACATAAATTCGATCGTCTTTTCTACAAGGAAGAAGACAACAGGCACAGAGTCCCATCCGCAGTGAGTGTGTTATCTGTACCCCTTGGAAGATCAAAGGGAGCTGGTGACCAAGCATAGGCTTTAGAATCAGTCGGATCTGGGATCAAACTCCAGGCTGGCTACTTACTAGTCTCACATTGGGCATCTTATTTAGCTCCTATGAGCCTTGGTTTTCTCATGAGCTGAGTGGAGATAATCGACCCACTTCATAGGGGGGCTGAGATGAAATAATAGTCAGCAGAGCAAGCATATGCTATCAGCCTCGGTTTCCTTCTCTGGTGAACTACTCGTAGCTGAAGGTGACCTGGCAAATCCACCCCAACTCAGTAAAGCCCCAGGAAAAACAGCTCAGTGATTCTCAAGGCAGAGGCATCGCTGCCCAAAACGACAGGATGACGCCCAGGGGGAGAGGTTGTTCCCCAGGCCTCTGCGCCTCTTCCCAAGGTCTCCTGTGCCACAGGGTAGCCCTCCTCAAACGTGTATCTTACACTCTGGGTCCTCAGCACTGATCGTGGCGCCCGGCACATGGGAACGCAAGCTTGGGGCTATGGAAACAGCAAGCACTTCTGAGCGAGACAGGCCTCGGTTCAAGCCCCAGTTCTGCCACTTACCTCGAAGCAAGTCGTTTCCTTCAGCCTCTGTCTCCTTACGTGTAAACTTGGTAATGACATCTACTAAAATGCCATGAGCATGAACCGAGGTTCACACAGACGCACAGCCTAGTACGGCGCATGGCAAACTGGAGACACGCGAAAAACCTTAGCCTTGATTAACACCCATTTGCTGAATGAACTCAGGGATGAAAAGGGCTCCATTTAATCAACAACATACACACACACACACACACACACACACACACACATCCATACACAGCAGAAATACTCCACATCACGTTTTCCTTTATGTCTATCAGGGATGTAGCCACACCTCTTTCTGCAGGGGCAAAGCTTTCATCGGCGCTGATTGTGTGCAGCATAATATGGCAGGCTCTGATCTATTCTTGGGACAGACACAGAACAAAACACACTGTCTGACCCCCACCTGCATTCCAACATACACACAGAAGGAAATTCTGGTTACAAATAATGCCAAGAAAGTCTCACAGCATTCCCCCCCACCCCAAGAAAATATATGAATTACGACTGGAATTCTCCAGAGTGAGAAACCTGACAGACACCACCGTAGCCAAATGATCAAGACGGACATCACCAGAAGTAAAAACATGACGGCATTACATCTGGCCCCTTATACGGTACCCTGAGAAGGAGATGTCACTTCCGTAGTTTTCGGGCTTAAACTTCAAAACCTTCGTCTAATCATGAGGAAACATCAGACAAATCCAAATCAAAGGACTGTCTACAAAATCATTGGTGGGAACTCTTCAGAAGTGTCAAGGTCATGGAAGACAGGGAAATAATGAGGAGCTATCACAGGCTGGAGGAGATGAAGGAGACATGAAATCTATGCACAGGGCGGGACCCTGGACAGATCTCAATAAAGCTTGCATGTCAGCTAAAAAAGTCAAAGGGGAAAAGGACTTACAAAAGGTCTGATCGAGGGGTGCATGGAGGAGAGAAGGCCAGTCCCAGGAATTGTACTGACCAACTGGGGGCGAGAAAGATGTATGAAAGGATTAAAGTCTAAGCTCCGTTTCTGCCCATGTTTTTAAACCCGAGCACCAACGGCACAGCCCCTCTCTCTCCTTCCCCCTTCAATCCCTCAAATTCAACCAACAGTAAGGGAGTAGGGTCTGAGCCACCTCGGCACAGTTTCACAGCAGCAGAATTTGCTTCTGACCTTTTCGCTGGTTAGCAATATAACTATTTGATGGCATAATATGGGAAAGTGCTTTCTGAGACAATATATGGCATTTAAGTGGAATCACCAGATTGGGACATAGGCCTTAGGTTCAAGGTTTCAAGGTACAAAGTAAGCCCCTCGCTCCTCAGGGAGGAGGGGATCCCACACGTCCAACTTCAGGTAAGTGTGAGTTTTCAAGTTACACAAGAGTCTAAGGAAGGCTTTATATTGGTAGAATACCGGGGCCCTGGCTCACCCTACGGAGCCATTTCACAGAACTGCCATGGGACGCCATGCTGCCTTCTCAAAGCTGCTAGAAGTTACTGTACCCTTCCTGTCCTGACCAGGAATGAAACCGGCTTACAACGATGGCACAGCAGCACACACATGGGCTCCACCTAGACTTCCAAACCACACCCTATTCTTTAGGCTGGACCAGGCATGTGAGTATGTGTGTACAAGTGCACACCTGGGCAAGTGTTAGGGTTTCTAGAATATGTCTATAGAGTTGGACGATACCATTTCCATTTTCCTACATAGTCCCCTTGCTCCCCACCCCAAACATTTCTCCAGCCTCTCTCGGGACTGTGTCCCTGCCCAGGTCTCATGTTTTAAGGTCTATTCTATGTGCTATTTAGTCCCCTCACCCTTCCCAGCCTTCCTGCCTCAGTGCACCTGAGATGAGAGGGTAACCAATGGAATCCATTCATTCGTGGAGTGATTCACTCCTGCCCTGGAGATGAATGGGGCTCTGGGGATACAGTCACACACAGAACAAAGACAAGATCTCTGCTTTTGTGGAATTCACATGTTAGTAGAGGGAGACCATCAATAAACAAAGATAAAAGAAAACAACAATAATGAGGAGCGTTGTGATGAAAGCGAATCAGGATGGTGTGGACAGGAGTGATGGGGGCTGCTGTTGGTTGGGTGGTGAAGGAAGGACCAATCTTTTAAGATTAGAGCTAAATGAGAGAGATCCAGCCCTGCAAACACCTGCGGGAAGGGGGTTCCCGGCAAAGGGAATAACTAGTGCAAAGGCCCGAAGGCAGGCCCAAACTCGGCAGATGAAGAGGTGGGTCATAGCGAGCAGAGAGGTAGAGAGGGGACCCAGATGAATCCAGATCAGGCAGGGTCTTACAGGGTGGGGTCATGGAGTGTGGGAAGATGCTGGGTGATTCCAGACTGAGAAGTGATAGAATCTATCTAATGTTTCAAGAAAATGTTTTGGCTGTTGGGTGGAGAAAGGACTGGATGGGGCAAGTAGAAATAGGTCATAAGATTAGAAGTGGGGAGACCAGATTCAGAGGGTGTTGCCATTAACCAAGTAAAGGATGATGGTATCTGGGTTAAGGCGGTAGAGATGAGATGGTGGGTGGATTTTAGATATGTTGTGGAGGAGAAGCTGATGGAAACTGTTGATGGACATGCTGTGGGGGACGAGAGAGCAAGGGATTCAAGATGGCTCCTGCGTTTCTGTGGTGGTGCTGCTGGTCGAGTTAGGAACCCGGGGAGAGGAAGGGGATGGGGGTGGGAAATAGCAAGCTGCATTTTAGTCATGTTAAGGTTGAGATATTTAGTAATGAATGGACTGAAGCCCTCATCCCATACTTTATATCACCAGACAAAAGGCTGTGAGATCCCACACATGGCCTTCCTTTCCGATTCCTTGCTAGGCAGGAATAAAGAGGAAGATAACTGACTAAAATATTCAGTCTTTCGTAAAACACTCTGACGTTCAGAAGTTTGGTAGAGGGGCCACATCCTTCCTGGGCTGGCACACATAGCCAATCAGTCACTGTGTCACACCAAACAACTGTTTAGGGGGCAAACTAATTAAAAATTTAATCCTATGATTTTCATCTTCATCTCTTTTTGCCATTAGCTCTGATCAATGCCCACAAATACAATTTAGCAGAACATTCATGTAGATAAATGACTCAGGGGGTTACCTAATTAGCTTGTTTGTTATGAACCAATTGATCACCAAAATTATACGCTAATTACTAAAAACCACACACTAATTTAAAAAGCATTTTATTAGCATAAAAGCTACGTTCCCGTTATCAGATGAGCTGTCCTTTCTATGCTGCACACAATTGTGCGAACCTGCCTCTCTTGACTGTCAGAAGTCAAGGTGCAGTGTGCTGTAGAGGTTAACAGTGCACTTGAGAAATGTCTTCTAGCCTTTACCTCACACCGTAACACAAGCAATAGTGAAAGCTGTACCAGTAAGAAGATTCCATGAGTTTCTCAGCTACCTGGGGGATTCCACGGTGTCTGCCAAAAACAAAAACAAAACACTGATCAGGCCAGAAACCACATAAACAACTAAGCAAAACTAAATGTGGAGGTGTGAGGACTGGGTTGAAGAACGGCAAGCTTTGCAGCCTGTTCCAATGCCAAGGTGGCTGCTGAAGACGATCTTGACTGTGCTCAGTCTGCGAGTCACAGAATCCTTAGCTGGTGACCATCTTTCTTTCAATCTCTGGCAAAAATTCTACTGATTTCAATCTCACAGCACATCCTAGGATGCCAGAATCCTTAAGTTTCTTCAAATAAAAGAGATCTTCATTTTCTTTTTTAATTTTTTTCAATGTTTATTTTCGAGAAACAGAGAGAGACAGTGTAAGCAGAGAGAGAGGAAAACACAGAATCAGAAGCAGGCTCCAGGCTATGAGCTGTCAGCACAGACCCTGACACGGGGCTGGAACTCAGGAACTGTGAGATCATAACCCGAGCCAAAGTCAGATACAACCAACTGAGCCACCCAGGTGCCCCAAAGAGATCTTCATTTTAAAAATAAAAGTCGGGGTGCCTGGGTGGCTGTCGGTTGAGTTTCCGACTTCGGCTGTGCTGATAGCTCAGAGAGCGGAGCCTGCTTCTGATTCTGTGTCTCCCTCTCTCTCTGCCCCTCCCCAGCTCACACTCTGTCTCTCACGGTCCCTCAAAAATAAATAAAACGTTAAAGAAATTAAAATAAAAGTCAATAGCTCTGGTCTCCTGTAACCTTTTAAACGGTCCCCTAACAGTGCATTCTGCCAGTGGGTTTTCACTGCCATTTCAATAAAGGGTGAGGAGTGTAAAGAATGGTGCCTGTAGCCAATGAAAACCAATTAAGTATCCTTCCCATGCTGGACATGACCTCAGACACAGGAGGACGGGCTACCAGACAGCAGGTGTAGGTGGTGGCCGGGCCCGTTTAATAAATAAACCTTAAAGGAGAAGAAAATGGTTTTCAGGCTGTTGAGGCCTTCCATATACACGCATTTTACCGCGATGAAGTCCTAGCTGCTAAGCATGTCTCTGGCCCTATAGTGCATCTACCACTTCCAATACTAACCGGTTTGGGGGTGGGTTTGCAACATAAACTTTTCTTGACCTGCCTCCCGGCCACCTCCCCCCCTCCATCCCTCCTCGCCCCCCAGATACCCGCCCCCCTCCCCCACACCCAGATGGCTGTCCCTGTGGTCCCCCTCTCACCAGCAAGCCCCTGGAGACAGAGCCTCGAAGCCGCTCGGTCAGACTGCGCTGCAGCAGAAACCAACATCTGGAAGGGGAATGGAGCAGACACTCCTCGCATTCTCAGCTTCCAAAGGGCTCCAGAGCAACCGGAGAGGAAGTGAGGCGTTTCGGCACCGGAAGCGGAAGTGGGACACAGACGTAGGTCGCCGCCATGTTGTGTGTGGCGGATGGGGATTCCACCTCTCAGGCTCTGAGCTCCAGCGGCACCCACAGAGTGGGTGAACCCTCTTTTTGGCTGTCCTTCTGTTGTTCTAACGAGTATTTACCGACTTCGGTGGTGCCAGGCACTGTGGATGGGCCAGGAGCCAGTGAACGGGACCAGGCGCTTTCCCTCCCTAGCTGTTCTAAGCTAGCGTTGGACAGCAAAGCGGAGGCCTTGGGAGAACTAAGCACTTAGTACCTGGGCACAGCTGGTCTTTGGCATCTTCAGAGGCTTGTCCGACTTTGGTTACTTGGGTTAGGGCCTCGGCATGGTGCACAGAGGAGGGAGGGATAGAGAGAGAGAGAGAGTTGGAAGGTAGATGGCAGTGGAATGGGTGTGTGGAAAATGCGGAGTTGGATGACTCCCAGGCTTCTGGGCTGACGCTAGGTGAATGATCCGGAACGACATAATGGAAGAGAACACAGGAGAAGCAGATTTGGGGAAATAGTGCGGTTTTAGACCTGTACAGTCTCTGGGACCCTCTAATGGAGAAGCGCAGCAGATGGTGGGATGTGCCTGTTTGGATCACCAAATGAAAGCCTGAGCTGAAAGTTTGTGACCTAGATTCGTGTCGGGGAGATGAAAATGGAGGAGGAGCATAGAGGAGGTTGCCTGGTGGAGACAATACCCATTTGGGAAAGGCCCGGGACAGCCCTCAAGAGCGCCTCTACTTGGAGAGGTAGAAGAGGAGCCGGTAACCTTAGGAGAAAACCCAGGAGATTGTGGCAGTGCAGAAGGCGAGGGAAGAGTACTTGTGGGAAGGGTACTTGATAACTAGGTCAATTTTCTTTCTTTATTTTTTTTTTAATGTTTTATTTATTTCTAGGAGAGAGAGAGAGAGAGAGAGACAGTGTGAGCAGGGGAGGGTCAGAGAGAGAGGGAGTCACAGACTGAAACAGGCTCCAGGCTCTGAGCTGGCAGTCAGCACAGAGCCCGACGCAGGGCTAGAACCCACGAACCGCGAGATCATGACCTAAGAGAAAGTCGGACGCTTAACCGACTAAGCCACCCAGGCGCCCCAACTAGGTCAATTTTCTTGAGAAATTAGTGAAGCGAAGACTAAGAAATGCCATCCCTAAGTGGGTATTGCTGTTAGCTGAAGCAGGTTTATTGAACGGTAGGACTGAGTTGAGCAAGTGAGGATGATGATGAGAAAATGGAGACAAATAAGCATAGGTAAGTCTTCCAAGAAACTGCCTGTGAGGAAATGAGAAGGATATTGGAAAGAGGATGCTAATTTAATTTTAAAAGATTGGAGAAACATAAATTTGTTCAAATGTTGATGAGAGGAACCCAGGGATTTTTAACTTTGGTCAGAGCCCATGGCCAAATGGACACGTGCCCAAGAATAATTTATGAGGACAAAGAAGACAGAATGAGAGGAGAGGGGTGTGCAGAACACATGCAGAGGGATGACCCCAGTTAGTAACCCTGGGAAAGAAGATGGGGGAGGGGGCAGGCACAAGTAGAGTCAGAGGATCTGTGCTGTTGAGCAGGCCATTCATTTCACAAATCCATGGGGCCGTATTGACTGCAGTGTCATCCTAATTTCGAATAGTAACCATGACTGCTTAGGGGGCAGATCATAGTGAAGAGCTTTGAGGAAAGGGTGCTTCTTTTTAATTCACCAAGTGGCCACAACAGCCATTGGTAGTGGAAAATTCGTTCTGGAAGTTGAGGTGCTTCCTTTCATTGGGTGCATTCTTCCTGGGAAGAGGACATGAAACCATTGAAGGAAGGGAATCCAGTCTCTGGAAGGTTTGTGGACAGTGGAGGTGTGCATGGTTTTTGGAGTTGGGGGAAGGCAGAGAAGAACAAGCAGATTTTAGACATTTAGATCCCAAACAGGTCTGTATCAGCAGTGGATGAAATCAGCAGTGTTTTCATTATCTAACTATCTTGCATTTCTAGCTAACAGAGGTAGCTTTTGGCCCCTGGTACAATATCTGAGCAGGCAGATTGGGAGAGTCTACACCTTGCTGATCTCTTGTCTCCTACTGCAAACTTGTTTTCCATTTCTTTTGAAGGACACCGGGATGCTGCCCTTGTTTTTCATAGGGAAATGTGGGGTGTTTTTCGTTGTTGTTTTTGTTTTTTGTTTTGTTTTGTGTGTGTGAAAGTGGAACCAGAGGCGGCTTTTAAAAATACATCAGGACTTCCAAGAAGATGGAGTGGATATACTTTCCCCCTATTCTCCCTCAAAGTACACGTGAAAACCCTGAACATTATATATAAAACCAACATAAGATTGTGGCATTATAGACTCCATTATAGTGCTATACTAAACAAGATAGTGTGGTATTTTCATAAATATATGCAAATATACAAATGGAAAGAATAGCGGATCTAGAAAGACTCACATATACTTAGTAAATTGATGAATATTACAATGCATTTCAAAGGGAGAGGGCATAATTTTTTTAACATTTATTTATTTTTGAGAGACAGAGAAAGATAGAGCACGAGCAGCAGAGGGGCAGAGAGAAAGGGAGACACAGAATCTGAAGCAGACTCCAGGCTCTGAGCTGTCAGCACAGACCCCGACGTGGAGCTCAAACTCACCAACCATGAGATCATGACCCAAGCCAAAGTTGGACACTTAACCAGCTGAGCCACCCAGGTGCCCTGAGAGGGTATATTGTTTAACAAAAGATGTTGGAACAATTAGACAACTATACGTGAAGGAGGAGGAGGAGGAGGAGGAGGAAAGAGAAGAAGAGAGAGAAGAGCACTGACCCTTACTTCAACCATAAAACAATTCAAAATTAATCATAGACCAAAATATAAGGGCTAAAGCTATAAAACGTATAGAAGAAAACACAGGAGAAATTTTTAGTGTGTTTGAGTTTGGTAAATAATTCCTAATGCAACACAAAAACTATGAAAAATTGGGAAGAATCAATACCTTGGAATTCACTTGTGCTTTGTGCTCTTCAGAAAGCACCACGTGGAAAACGAAAAGTGAGGCCACAGATGGGAGCCAATAGTTGCAGAACATGTATCTGACGAATGTCTTCTGCCTAAAATGTATTTTTTAAAGTTAGCAACCCAGGGCATCTGGGTGGCTCGGTCTGTTGAGCATCCAACCTCAACCAACTTGCGGCTCAGGTCATGATCTCATGGCTCATGGGATGGAACCCTGTGTCAGACTCTGCACTGACAGCCCAGGGCCTGCTTGAGAATCTGTCTCCTCTCTGCCCGTCTCTCGGTCATGTGCACATATGCACACACACTCTCTGTCTCTCAAAATAAACTACAAAAAAAAAAAAAGCTTACAACTCAGTAATAAGACAAGTCACTGAATTGAAATGGGCAGACTTCACCAAAGAAGACACATGGAAGACAGACAAGCGCATGAACAGACGCTTAATATCTTTATTCATTAGGGAAATGCAAATTAAGACCACAATGAGCTAGGACCACACACATACTAGAATGACTAAAATTAAAAAGACTGATCATACCAAGTTCTGGAAAGCATGTGGAATAATTAGAACTCTCATTTCTGGTGGGAATGTTAAATGGTACATTTCCAGCGGTACAAGATGGAAAACATTTCGCCAGTTTCTTGAAAAGCCAAACACACAGCTACCATATAACCCAGGCATTCCATGTCTAGATATTCACCCAGGAAAAATGAAAGACTTGCACACAAATGCTCACAGCAGGGTTAATAGTCCCAAGCAAAGGACAATAAATTGGGGAAGGGATACACCAATGATAGAGTATCCACATAATGAGATACTACTCAGTAATAAAAAGGAATCAAGTATTGATACACGTGCAACATAAATAGAGCTCAAAATAATTATTCTGAGTGAAAGAATCCGAATGAGAAAAAAAAGCACATACTGTACGATTCCAATGATATAAAATTCTAGAAAACTAAAGCTACTCGATAGTGACAGAAAGCAGACCATTGATCATCTGGGAGTGGAAGACGGGATAAGACAGGTTGGAGAGACTCGATGGGGCACAAGGGAACTTTCGGGATGGTGGATATGTTCATGACCTTGATTGTGGTGATGACGGTTCTGTGAGTGTACGCACACTTCAAAACTTACCAAGTTGAACATTTATATGTGCTCAGGTTGTTATAGATCACTTAAATAAAGCTTTAAAAAGAACCCACTGCTGAACTTCAGCAAATCTTAACCTGTGCCATAGGTATTTGTTTCTGATTTTTCACCCCCTCACCTGTATACCTCCCTGACCTATTTCCCTCCATTCCCCAAACATAAGCACTGGCAAGCTGAATTTGAGATTTGTCATTCTCCTGTGTAGTTTTCCATTTTACCACTTAAAGTCTTTACCTGTAAACATAACATTGTTTTGTGTCGCTTAACATTTTTCATAAATGGAACCTCTGTCATTCTATAACTTGCTTTCTTTGTTTGACATTATATTTACAAATAAATTACTTAACAAAATGTTTGGGCAAGTCTAATTATTCCTATTTTACCATTGGAGACACTGAGGTTCAGGATAGATTAGGCAAGTCGCCCAAAGTGAGTGAAGGAGGCAGGCTTAAGCCAGGTCTGAGGGAACTCAAAGTTGGATTTTCAAAAACTTGACCACAGGGCCTCTAAAGCACAGGGAGCTTTCCCTCTGGGGCTCCCTTGACTGTATTTCCCGCTACTGCAGGGGTTGGTGCCCTTCTAGGCTAGTCTGGACTTCTCTAGTTTGCCTGGCACTTAGGTTGGGTTGGACCTCTCCTTGACATATCCAACCATACCTGTACCGGAATCAAAGCTCGGCCCCCTTGCCCTGTGTTGCCAAGTTGCTCCTTGGACTTGGACTTGCTTGCCCTCAGCAACCCCACCTCTTCTGGGCCTCATAGGGGTTCCTAACTGCTGTCATACTGCAAACCCCTTCGGCAGCCCAGTGAAGCCCGTGGGCCTCTCAGAATAATATTTACAAATGCTCGTGAGACAGAAGATTACAGTTATATTGAGGTACCATTATCAAAATATTTTTAAAATTGTGATAGAGTAATATGTATGTTTCTTGACTAAAGCCTTACAGAACAAACTCTAGCAGCAGGCTGAATAATCGATTTTGAGTGAACCTGAGCACAGACTTTATCTCAAAATAACAGCAGGAACTATGATATGAAAATACCTGATTTCTGTTGATGACAGTAGGGACTAATACTATTACTGGGATTTGTTGCTGCTTTTCTTTTTTTTTTTTTTTTTTTTTTTTTTTTTTTTTTTTTTTTTTTTATATATTTTTTTAAACGTTTTATTTATTTCTAGGAGACAGAGAGAGAGAGACAGTGTGAGCAGGGGAGGGTCAGAGAGAGAGGGAGTCACAGACTGAAACAGGCTCCAGGCTCTGAGCTGGCAGTCAGCACAGAGCCCGACGCGGGGCTCGAACCCACGGACCGCGAGATCATGACCTAAGTGAAAGTCGGACGCTTAACCGACTAAGCCACCCAGGCGCCCCTGTCGCTGCTTTTCAAACTGAAGTGCTAGCATTTTGGTTCAAGGTTAGTGACCGTAAATATGTTTTTTCCCCCATCCAAGTTCGAAGAACCCATAGATTCCTTCCACAAACATATCAGGGGTCTGTGGAACCCGGGATAAAACTCCCTAGGCTCGCACGGCACCGGAGAGCAGCACTACAGAATGGAGGAGCTTGGAAACAGCCGGCTTTGCAGGCAGAGAGCTGATGGCGGTGCCCCGGGTTTTATGTTAACGACCATCATTTCTCCATTTCCCTGATCAAGAGCTACCCATGCTGAGGAACTTCAAAAACAGATGCGTGGCAACAATACTCTTAACTCTTAGATTTAAGAATTTAAGGGAGAGCCTGGTATCAAAGGCCAGAGCAGAGCTTTGCAAATTTCAGGTTTCAGTGATCTAATTTTGTGGGGCATTTGTTATAGACGCGTTTCTCCAAAGAGAATTATGTTATGACTTCATGCGAAAGGAGCCCCCCAGGAAACCTCTGCTTTCACCAAAGCCCCTGGCAGGGCCCCTCCGGTTCCTGGCATCAAAGAACGCCCCGCAGTTTGCAGGGAGCCCACGGGGGCTGTTTTAAACAGATAGGCTCTGTGTTTTGTCATTTGTGAGGCTCACCGTGCTTGCAATCCGGCTCTCGAAAGTCTCCCTGCGGCTCAATTAACTGCTGACAATTCCTTCCAGCGCGGCAGGGCCCAGGGCCTTCTTCTCTCTGCCTCATTATTTTATATATTTTGAAATGCTGACTTTTTAAGTTAAAGATCAATTTTACTGCTTTTTCTTTTTTTGGTGGAAGAGAGAGATGCATGCTTGCTCTTAGTGGGAAAATTAGAAAACGGAGATAAGAAAAAAAAATCCTCCAACATGGTTGTACTAATTTATTCCCCAACAGCGGCGTATGAGAATTTCAGTGCCACATCTTTGTTGCCATTTGGTGTTTCCTGTCACTTTTATTTTAGCCAGTGTGTTCAAATTTGCATTCCATGTGTTAATTGGTCATCTGGACGTCCCCTTTTTAAATGCCTGTTCCAGTCTTCCACAAGTTTTTCTTTTGGGTGGTATGCCTTTTCCTTATTGATTTGCAGGAATCTGTTATAAATCCTGGATATATAACAATATGATAACATTCTTTTGTCAGGTGTATGAATTGCAAATATCTTTTCTAAATCTGTGGTTTGTCTTTTTTTACTCTCTTCACAGTGTCTCTTAATGAGCAAAAGATCTTAACTGAAATAAAGTCCGATTTTTTTTTTCCCTTCATGGTTAGTGCTACTGTTAAGGTTTTTTAAGAAAGAATTTGGACAGCCTCCCTGAAATTAAGATGCATTGATATCGTGTTTGTTCTGCTTGGCCGATCCTGTGTAGGCTAGGAAAGCACATGTCCGTTAAAAATATAACGCAAGCCACATGTGTGATTTGAATTTTTCGAGCAGCCACATTAAAGTAAAAAGTAACAGGTGAAGTTAACTTTGGTGGCATGTTTTGTTTGACTCACTGTATCCTGGAATCGGGGTCATTTCAATATTTAAAAATTTTCCCCGTGTTAGTTTTTAAATTTAAATTTTAGCCACACTAGCTACATTACAAGTGCTTAGTAGCCGTATCTGTCTGGTTGCTATCATATTGGACAAAACAGGCAGAGAGGTTGACAATGAGCTCTGGAGGCAAATGATCTAGGTTCTGATATGACTCTGGCACTTACCAACAACCGTAAACATTCATCAACTGCTTCTCCCATGCCCGGCTCTGTCCATAAGAACTAAAGATACTGAGTGTTTGAGGCATATGAAGTTCCGTGTCTGCGCTGTCTCATTCGATCCTTCTAAAACCTTAGGAAGGAGGTAATATCCTCACTGTGGTTTTTCATTTTATATATGAAGTTGGCTTCGCTGTAGTGCCCAGGTGCTTGGTTAAGCACCAGTCTAGATGTTGCTGTGAAGACATTAAAAAAATTTTTTTAGATATGATAACCACTTAATTCCATAGACTGAGTTAGCTGATTACCCTCCATAGGTGGGTCGTCTTATCCAATCAAATGGAGGCCTTAAGAAAAGACTGAGGTCCTTCCCAGAGGAAGGAATTCTGTCTCCAGATTGCCTTTGGACTCCACACTGAAACACTGACTACTTCTGGCATTTCCAGCTTGTCAGCCAGCCCTGCAATTTTGCATTTTCCAGCCACCACAATCACATTAGCCAGGTCTTCACAAGAAAATCAATCTCTGTCACACACACACACACACACACACACACACACACACACACACTTATACACCATATATGTACACGTATAGGATCTAGCTCACCACCCATCCTTCCCTCAATGGGGAAGCTAAGGCACCCTGGTTAACTCTCTTGCCACTTCTGGTAATTGGGGAAATTGCCCAACTTCTCTAGGTTTCCATTTTTTTCACTGTCAAGCTAATAATGAATGATAGTGCCTACTCAATAGGATTGCTGTGGAGACTGCCTAAGATAATATAGTGCACCTGGCACATAGTAAATGCTCAGAAAAAAATATTGTTATTTTTTTGATGCCTCTCATCGTAGAACACGTTGAACAGAACTTATTACTGGTTGCATGGCAGACATGAAAAGATTAAGGAAACAGAAAGTCTAGAAAAGTATATTAGGCTTGCTGATCATCTTTATCACAGGCACTTTGAAAGTCAAGACTGCCATGGCCATGTCGATAAAAATCACTGTTTTGGGGAGGGGAATCCCTACCCTGTGCTCAGCACTCAAATTTCATCATGTACTGAAATCTTCACATTAATCCTACAGGGGAAGGTGTCATGGTCATTTCCCAGTTTTCAGATGAGAAACTGAGGCTCTGAATGACAGGGAAGCTGACCCAGCTTCTAAACGATGATCTCTCAGGGAAATAAGTTCCCACAACCTTCATATCATCACACCATCAGGTTACTTGTTCTCTTTAATAATCCTCTACAAAGCAGCACATAAGTGAGTTGAAATTAACATCGAGTCCTTGTGGGGAAATTGAAAACTTAACCATTCCCTTCTCCCTCATTTTTATCTGCTGCTGGTTGCACACATTTGTAATTCAGCTTTGAAACTGTCACAGGATCTTATGGCTTTTTTCTTTGCAATTTTGTGCAGGTAATCCTAAAGAGGATTTTTCATATTATAGTGTATGATCAAAATTGAATGTAGCTTGTAAAAAATAAATTGTTAATAACAGAGAGAGCCTTGTGTTCTTTGAACATATTTGTTGTCAAATGAAAAGAGACTTTAGAATGTCAATACATTTCATTTTGTTTGTTCCCCACCCTCCTTTGTCCATATATTCTTCCCATACATCCCAGATTGCTTTAATCCACAGATTAATTTTAAGGTGTTTTTGGGAGTTATGCTCATAATATCAGGCTTTATAGAAAGATTATTTTTGCATGTTTTAATACATTTTTATCTTTCATTCTCCTTTCTTTGATGTCAGGGCTATATAAATCCAGTTTAATATGACTTTCATTTGTGAGGTTTAACACAGAACCATTATAAGGCTGAACCAGACCTCCTTCTGTTTTTCAATGATTCTCTTTTTCTGTCAAAATGAACCAAGCCCTCTAGTCTCAGGATTTGCAAAAAAAAAGAAAGAAAGAAATCAAAGCTTAGAGGGTGAGCTCAGATCATATCTAAGTGCTCCTTTATCTTTGCACCCACACTTCTGTGAAATGCTTTCCACAGGCTGGTTACGCTGGGTATTGAAGAGAGAGTATGTATTCTTGAGTGATAATTTCATCATGTTTATTCTGAGGTTGGATACCGCAACGATTCCTTACTGCATGGTCTTTAACCTCTGAGCCCTGGGACTTCTGTGTACATGAGTTTTGCATAGTTACATTGGGCTGTTTTAAATAATTTAGGCTCTAATTTATATTGGAACAGATATATTCTCAACTGGACCGTTAACACCACTATTTCAATGAAAGTGCTATGTAAAGATCTAGGGTATTATCAAATGGCTACTCCCCTGACACATAGTCTCTCTTCCTCCTCATGATCTCTGACCTCTCCTTTATTTTTATGAGTAAATCTTTGCTCTGTGTCTGAGAGCTCACAGGATAGCAGCAGAAGTGCGGATCGTATGCTTGGAAGAGTCCGGATTTACTACGCTCAAGTTACAACCCATGCATATTAATTAAGCTCCCGCTACGTGCAAAGCTTTGTTCTAGACTCTACATATAAAGATAAGCAAGGTATCCTTAAATATCTATCCCTGTGGTATAATTTACTACTACTTTTCTTGTGGTTAATTAAGCAATGTACATCAAAGCCTTAAAAATGGGCACATCCTTTAATTAGGTAACCCCATCTTTTTTTTTTTTTTTTACAAATAGTTTATTGTCAAATTAGTTTCTACATAACACTCAGTGCTCATCCCCAAAGTGCCCTCCTCCATGCCCATTCCCCCCTCCCCCCCACATCCATCAGTCCTCAGTTTTTGTCAGCATTCAAGAGTCTCTCATGGTTTGCCTCTCTCCCTTTCCCCCACCATTTCCGCCCTTCTTCTCCCCCTTGTTCCTCCGTCAAGTTCCTCCTAATCCTCCTATACGTGCAAACATATGATATTTGTCCTTCTCTGCCTGACTTATTTCGCTCAGCATAACACCCTCAAGGTCCATCCATGTTGCTACACATGGCCAGATTTCATTGTTTCTCATTGCCATGTAGTATTCCATGGTATAGATAAACCACATCTTCTTGATCCATTCATCTGTTGATGGACACTTAGGCTCTTTCCATGTTTTAGCTATTGTGGAGAGTGCTGCTATGAACATTGGGGTACATGTGCTCCTATGCCTCAGCATTTCTGTATCCCTTGGGTAAATTCCTAGCAGTGCTATTGCTGGGTCATAAGGGAGTTCTATTGTTAGTTTCCTGAAGAACCTCCACACTGTTTTCCAGAGGGGCTGTACCAGTTTACATTCCCACCAACAGTGTAGGAGGGTGCCCGTTTCTCCACATCCTCGCCAGCATCTAGAGTTCTCTGATTTGCTCATTTTAGCCACTCTGACTGGCGTGATAGGTAACCCCATCTTTAAAAATGTAATTTAGGTAAGTAAACAAAGATGTGGGTAAATATTTAGCCAAAATGAGGCTCATCAGAGTTGTTTAGAATAATGAAAGATGAGAAACAGCCTAAGTGTTCAATAATAAAGGATCGCTAAATTAAGGCTCCTGTATGGCTACCCAATGGAATATTATACAGCCATTAAGAGCAAGATTGTAGGGGCGCCTGGGGGGCTCAATTGGTTGAGCATCCAACTTAGGCTCAGGTCATGATCTTGCAGTTTGTGGGTTCAGGCCTCACATCTCTCTCACTCTCCCTCTCTCTCTGCCCCTCCCCTGCTCACACACACACCCTCTCAAAATAAACAAACTAAAAAAAAAAAAAAGAAATAGAGTGAGGTTGTAGATTAGTGATGGGGAAGGAATTAATTATACATTGCACATAAAGAAAGAAAAGGCTATAGTGGTGATATAGCATATGATTCTATTTTTGTAGATGAATGTGTGTTGGAGGCCTGCTCTTCAGGAAAAGGCCAGATGAACATGGAGCAAGAATGAAGAGTCAATTATCATTGAGTGGTAGGATCATAGGTGAATTTTGATTTTCTGCTCTTTGTTTTGCTTCCTTGCATTTTCTAACTTTTCTCCAGAGACTAGGAGTTGCTTTTGAAATCGGAACATTCCACACAAGTTATTTTAAATAAACAATAATCTGGAAAGTCTGTCCGTGAGCCTTACAGGACAGCAGGCTGCACAGAAGGACACCCTGTGGTGGACATTCAGGGTTCAAGGAGCCGCTCCCGGTGCCCTGTCTGTGCTTTACTGTGACCCTCCTGTCTTCCCCCGTTGACCCTTTCTGCCCCGCCCATGGCTCTATGTCCTGGCTTCAGAAAGCCACAGCCTCCTTCTTGCTCGGTACAAACTGCAGAATGGCCACTTGGTTGCTGGCTCGGCCAAATTCAAGTCTGTTTTCTCTTCTGCAACAAGAAGTCTAGCACCTTGGAGTCTGAGCTGGCCTCCCAGAGCTGGACTGCTAGCCGGGGTCCAAGATAAAAGACAGTCTCTGAACCTTGGGAACTCTGAGCCCACAGAGGACAGAGCCAACGTCAGCTCTGGAATATGAGATCATGGCTCTGTATTAGCTACCAGGGAAGACGAATATGGGCCTGGCCTCACGGCTTGCTGCGGTCAGTGGACAGGACGTGATGGGAATCAGCGGACATGATGTGATCACACCCTTGAACTGTGCTCAGGCATAGGGCCTGTCTTCTTATGCTACAAGAAGTCGTGCCCCAAGTAGCTGCCACTCCTTCAACCTGGGCCTTGGGGAGAGACACACAGGGTAGACTGCCCGCACCAAGTGGCCACTGGCCCAAGGGAGATGAAGAGCATATCAAGCAGATCTGAACCCAACCTGCAGCCTGGACAAGGTGGTACCTGGAGCCTGGGTCCATCCCAGCCTGGCGAGGCTGCAACTGACCCACTGACCTTGAGTATGAGAATAAAGGATTATAATTTTAAGCCACGGAGTTTTGCAGTCATTGTTATGCAGTGTTGTAGAAATAGCTGACTTAACATGGTCCCTTCTCCTCTTCCTTTCTCCTTCCCAGAACCATTCGAGCGGCGACCACGTGCCAAGAACTGTCCCCAGAGCTGGAGACCCGATACAGTGCACGGGCCATCTGATCTCCACAACAGCGCTGTGTGACAGACTTATCACTGTTACCTTGTTCTCCAGATGTGGAAATACTGCACAGAGAGCTTAAGTCATCAACAAGGGTCACAGAGCCAGCAAGCGGCAGCGCTAGAGTTGAAACCCAGGCACACTGGCTCCTGAGTCCTGGCTCACGCCTATTGTACTTCCAACCTCCAGGACCACACTGAGTCAGCACCCCCTCATGG